TGCTCTTTGCCATAATGAGACTCTCTGGTCCCACTTAATTCAGTTAAGATTTGCAAATACTTATTTTTAAAGATAATAGAAAAAGGAGAAGTTTTCTTTCTTTGGTTTTTAGTGAAACTAGTAGGTCATTTACTATGATTCTAAGCTACTATTTAGGAAAGGAAGGAGTCTAAGAGGAAAACAGAAATAGAGATAGGCCCCTCCATTAAAAAAAAAAAAGGGGGCCACTCTAAACACAAATCAAGTAAAGAAAGAACTCCCTAAGGAGGGCAAGTTTTCTAGAGATAAGTTTGCCGATCACCTTTCCTTGCTAAATCCCAAGCATTTTAAAATTATACTTCCTCTGGGTGAACTTTTTAAGTTAGATGAACATTAACCATATAATTTATATGGAACATATATAACAAATGGCACTAAGTCTGTTTCTTGTTATTTCCCTGAATACATCCCTTCAGTGCTCATTTCAGAACAATGGCAGATACCAAAGCCGTACCACAAACACTTTTTTCCTTATTTTGTTAATTTTTAATATGTACATACTAAAAAATTTCCATTTTCATCTCCAGCAGAATAAACCCAGACCCACAATGGCTCATGTGCGCTGGCTCCCAGGACCTCGCAGTCCCGGGTCTCATTCCGGGACCTGGGGCACGTGTGCCCCTCTCCTCCTTGTGTTCTCCAGGTTCCCTCTGCTCCAGGTCTTTGGAAAGTGCTGAGCTATCTACCCAGGGTACTCTGTGCTCACTTCCCAGGGAGGGCTTTGGCTGTTCTAGTTAAACTCCGCATCACCACGTCCGGCCCTGCCATCATTCCTTTACCTCTCATAGGCACCCTGCCTTATTTCTTCCACAGAAGAGTTTCTTTTATTGTAGCCTTAAAAATAATGTATATGAGTTATATTGTTTACTGCCCATTTCCCCGCCCTCATGAATGATTAGAATCTAAGCTCCACCAGGGCAGGAATTTTGTCTGTTTTGTTCACTGGTGTTTTTCTGGTGCCTAGAAGAGTGTATACAGTTGGGAGTTACTCAATAGCCATTTTTGTTGGACAAATCAGCAATATTAAATAATGCAGCTATAGAATATTATATGATATGAGCTCTGGATTAAGCAGGCTCAGACTATGAGCATATAAAACAATATTTCTCCCCTTAAATTAATTTATAATTGTAGATTGGACATCTTAGTAGAGCACTACCATCCAACTGCTCTTTGCAATGACAACGGTAATGGTTGTAATTTAAAAGCTAGATATTTTAGGGAAGCCACTGAATTTCCTTCCAGCGGATGGTTTACTTTAAAAATGGACCCAGAAAAAACATTTTTATTTGAAAAACAGATGGATTGCTAAAAGGGTCACAACACATTTTAATTTTCCTGTGAGAAAACAATAAACTAGATGATAGAGCCTGAACAAAGACTCGCCTGTCTCTCAGTTCTCAGAAAAGTTCTACTGCAGGGCCCTGTCCCTGAACAACCTTTCAGAACTTCTCCGCAACGCACGGGACCACAACTGTACGCTGCTTTCAGTTTTTCCCTCGGTTCTTTTTATCTCCCTTTCTTTGGTTTGTTTCGTTACCAGCAGGTCTTTTCTTATTTTTAAACAAATCGACTTAATTTTTTTTTCCAGAGCAGCGTTAGGTTCACAGCAAAATTGAGCAGAATGTACAGAGATTTCCTGTACACCCCCTGCCCTGACACAGGCACAACTCCCTTACTATCAACACCCCCGAGAGCGGTCCATTTGTTGCAATCGATGCACTTGCACTGACGCATCATCACCCAGGTGAAAGTGTATATTAGGATTTGCTTATGGTGTCGCATGTTCTATGAGTCTGAACAAATTTATAATGACATATAGTCACCATTATAGTATCATGCAGAGTAGTGTGACTGCCCCAAGGTCCTTTCTTTTTTATGTTTATTTTTCTACTATAAAAGTAATATGTGCTGATGATTAGAAAGCTATCAGATGTGGAAAAAATATTATGAATTAAATAAGGTTAATTTTTTCCTATCACTAAAAATTATATATTTACATACACATATATACAAACTTACAAATTTGCAAAAAAAGTACATGTGTAGTTCTTTATATAGCTTTACATCAGCAGTATCTCCCTGTATCTGAGACAGACTTTAGGACATACTGAGCCATTAAACATGTCTCCTGTTTGTTCTCTGAATAGTGCAAGAAAACTAACTGGTTGTGCAAAATAACTGTATACATGCCTCATTCTCTTGACAAAAACTCCATGCTTTTAGGTTTTGGCTAAGAAGAAAGGAACAAAATGAAGATCTTGAATTTGGAAATGTGCAATTGCTGGGTGTGTGCATGTTCATGTATGCTTGTGGGGGTGTATATGTGTCTTTGGGTGCACCCGTGTGTGTTACGTGCTACAATTCTGAGAACCTAAGGAAGTCCACAGTGTTTTGTTTTATATTGTTTTGTAGCACTTGTGCAATGAGCCCTCAGCCATCCCTGATGCAATAGACTCTTAGCATGTTTGTTCTGGAAGGCTTCCATTTGCCACAGAACCACAAACCTCAGTTACTTGACTTTCATATTATTTGGCAACTTCTGTGCTATTTCATGGGCTGTTTGTCAATGGGTGGCACTTTTATCTATGACACAAGGCACAGGATTGCTGGGATTATGTGCACTCTGCAAAGGGAATGTCCAGTCTCAGAATGGACATTTGTTTGGAAGGTGATTTTGTGACCAGAAATTCAACAACAGCCACAACTCATTTCCAACATGTAGCAACCAGAGTAGTGATTACCCCAAAGTGCAGTTCATGCTCCAAACGCCTGTCCAATTATGTCTAGTTCACTGCTGGAATAAGTTACCCAAGTTTTGGCATGGGTCCGGTGTAAGTTTTAGTAATGCAAAGAAACAATAAGAAACAATCTTTGTGTCCTCAGAAATCAGAAAACAACTTAAAATCTGTCTTATTATGAAACTAGTAATTACTCTTTGTTGAACACTTGGAAAATAGAGAGAGACAAAAAGAAAGAAATATAAATTGTACATGATCCCACCATCTGAAAAGCCTTCCTGAGCACTGGGAAATTACAATCTTCTCCCTAGACTAGATTCTGATATTGACTAATGGTGACGTCCCTATCTCCACCTGGACATTCCCAACACTGAAAGAAACAGATAAAAAGGCAAATGGAAGTACCTTGCTGCTTCATTCCTAGAGCAAGTGTGAATAAAATTCATGAAAGCAACACATGAGGCTTCAAGTTGCTATCCTTGTGCCATGTGATTTCATAGTAAGGGGCTAGACTATTGATTTTTCAGAATTAGATGCCTTAACTATACTGTTCATATTATAAATTCATACATATAACTTCCATTCTGTAAAAATTTGTTAATTGTATATTTTGTAGTAAAAGAAAAAATGGAAATTAATGATCTCAACAGTAAAGAGCTTTTATTATGAATCAATGTTTTGTTTATAGTTCCACTGTGGGTGGGGAAGCACTTATTGGATCATTTATAGGACATATATTTCCAAGTGTTCAACAAAGAATAACTATTACTTTGGTTTATGCAAGAAACTCCATCAACTCATTAGTGTTCATTGATAATCAACAAATAAAATATACCTGTTTTATTACTGACAGTATCAACCTAACGACTTATTTACATAAATAATAATCATGATCTTCATTAGAGACTATTACACAAAATGCTGTTTGTATTGAGTTAAATGATGAAGTATGTATTCTAACTTTTACTCAAAGATGATTATAGTGTTAAATAATTTATGGGACTTTAATGCATAGCTGGTGAGAGGGTAAACTGGTATAGCCACTTTGAAAAATGATTTGACAGAGTCAGTTGACTGTGAATATATATGTATACCCTATGACTCATCAATTACAATTCTAGGTAAATACTCAAGAGGGAATGTGTAATTTTGTGCACAAAAAGATATGTACAAGAATGTTCCTAGCAGTACCTTTTGATTATTTATTACCTGATTATTTTACATTATAAGTGACCAAGGCCTTCCCCTGCCTCTATTTATCTTGCTATCTGCTTTTGAGTCATTTCAGCGATATGACTCAACACAGGGCTGCCAACATATGAGGTGGCCAGCGAAATGGAAGAAGCAAAAATGAATCATTTTGTCCTTTGTTCATGAGTATGGTTCAAGGTTGGAATGGATGAGGGTAGGTTTTGGTGAAAGTTAGATTCAAAGATTATTTCTATTTATCCAAGCCACTATTTTGCTCTATTACTATAACTAATTGAAAATTCATTGGACATAGTCTAGTGGCTTAAATAAGATCTAAACACTAGACCTAAAATTTTACAGTTTAGAAGCTTTCATATCTTGATCTGGACCATTTCTCACTTTGAGGTTAAGTACATCACTTATATTCTCTATAGTTTTCTAATCTATATAATGAGGAAGCTAATATAAACTTCATTTCTTAGGAGAATAGTGTAACTTAAAGAGTTTGTGAAAGGCACTGGTGATATATCGTCCCATAAGTACAAATAATTATTCATTACAATGCTGCAATTTCATTACAAATTCAGTGTGGGTAATTGTTGTGCTGGCTTCAGATTAGTTCAAATATACATTTCTCCCAGGCACTGTGAGGGCTTTGTGCTGTGATGTAAATTCTTAATAGTTTCCTTACAAAACTTATCATCTCTAGTTTAAGGATTACAGTGTGATTCTTTTTGCTTTTCTCATCACAGTCTCCTGAATGAAAAGCACCCAATTCTATGCTATGCTGATGATCCAAGAAAAAATCTGAAAGACTCAGAAGCACGGTTCATGACTTACTGACAGTTATTAAAATCAAAACCTTTTGCTCATCAAGTGTTCCAAATGTGTTCAAGACGTCTTTAAACCCATAAAAAGCCTATAAGCCTCTGCGATATGGAACAAGGGACAGTCAAGAAGGCAACAGAACAACAATACGTCACATGACATCAACATGCTTAATATATCTAAAAGGAAAATCCTTCTTACCTAGCATGCAAACACATTTGACATTCTGATCAGGGTTTTCAAACAAGAGTTCACCACACCTCTGAAAGACAAAAGAAAAGAGCTACATTATTTTCAGATTTCATACCAGGACTTTCAAGTCAACATGTCCGTGCACCCTGACACTGCCACGACATTATTCTACCCCTTATGTTCTCCTGGGCTACTGAGTCTAGGAACTTATGTTGTGAGCAGAGACTTCTCTGGCAGTAAAATGTTTGAGAGGTAAGTTGGGATCGATTTTTCCTGACTGCTTCATGCGCCTGCCTAGGAGTGATTCTGTGTGTTCCTCTGAGGAGTGATGGCCACAGTGGAAGATATGCAATCTATTAGACCTAATGATATGAGATTAATCCTCAAAATTGGTACTTATACAGCACCAAAGTTATTCTAAACTCCCCACTCTGAAATCAAGCACAGACATTATCAAGCACAAAGTCAGTAGCCTATACTTAACACTCTGAACTTGGGAGGAAAAACAAATGAGAAAATGATGAAAAAGTGGCACTTATTCATAAGTGCTTCTTCTAAACCCAGAGACTTAAGAAAATAACAACTTTCTTGTCTATGTCTTAGTTTTAACTTGCTAGTTAAAAGTTTTGTATAAGGCAAACTCCAAAGACACATCAGTTATTTAATACTAGACTACATTTATGTATATGATTGACAAATAGTTAGTACTTAAATATATTTTAAAAATCCTCCAAATAAATAAGAAAATAACAAATAGAGAAATGGATAAAGGACACGAACAAGCAATTCATGGAAGAGGAGATTTGAATGGTCACTAAACAAAGAATGTATTCAATCAGTCATAGTAATAATTAGGAACCAGCAAATTAAAGGTGAAATGAGGCCTATTTTGAACTCTCTGGTGTGGCAAAACTTAGAAATTTGGAGATAACAAGTGTTATCAAAAACGTACAGTAATGAATACTTTTACACTTTGTGGGTTAGAATATAAAATGATAGAACCATTTTGGAGAAAAATTGGCAAAATTTTATTTGATTCTACTTCTTAATTACTAGATTTCAACCTAAGTAGAAATGTGCGTACCCTATAACATAGCAAGTCATCTTCTAAACGGATAACCAGAAAAAATTTCACATATAACTTTAATGTCCAGCTACAAAATAAATAAATAACATATTATTTAAACCTTAGAATACTACATGGTGTTTAAAATAACTGAATTAGGACTACATATACTATAAAAACATACACATAATTGGCATACATAAATATTCAAATTATAGAATGTTCAAGTCTTATAAAATATATGTTACAATCATATAAGATATGTACACTTTTCAAATCATATAATACATATCTAGTGTTTAAATAATATAAAAATAAAAGGTTAAGCAAAAAGCTATCTTCATTTTTTATTTTATTGAAAATATCTAAAAACAGTAATATTGTTTATGTACACATTAATTTACAGAAAAAACATAAAAACAGGCAATGAGTAGTGAACATCAAATCAGGGAGAGGGAAATATACGGAGCAATGAATGCTGAAGAGCATTCAGGGGTTATCAACTTTTTCTATGGCGTAGTTTCCCTTATCCCTGGGGATGCGTTTCAAGAGCCCCGCTGGATATACTTGAAACCATAGATAGCACTGAACCCAATATATACTATATACTATGTTTTTTCTACACATATTTACCGATTATAAAGTTTAATTTATAAATTAGGCACAGTAAGAGATTAACAATAACGAAAAAATAGAACAATTACAATAATATACTGTAATACAAGTTATATGAATGTGGTTTCTCTCTTTCTCCATCTCAGCAAACTAGCATGAATTTCATTCTTATGGTACATCTTAGCAATCTCAGCATACAATTTTTTTTCTTTAAGTAGAAAAATCTCATCTTTGTTCTTAAAGGAAGCATTTTACGACTCCTTTTTGGCATATCCGAATTGCCACAGCATCATTGCTCTGGTGATTTGGAGCCATTATTAAGTAAAATAAAGGTGACTTGAACACAAGCACTGAGATAGCACGACAGCCATTTAATCATCAGGATGGCTACTAAGTGACTAACTGGCGGGAGCATATAAAGCATGGACATGTTGGACAACAGGATGATTCACATCCCTGGTGAGAGGGCACGAAATTTTATTATGCTTACTCAGAATGGCAGGCAATTTAAAACTTATGAATTGTTTATTTCTAGAATTTTCCATCTAATATTTTCAAACCATGGTTGACAGTGGGTAACTGAAACCACAGAAAGCAAAATTGCAGATGGGTGGGGTGGGGGGAGAATTACTGGAATGGTTTGTTCCTTAAATTATTCTTTAAACTGTTTTCTATGTTTGAAATATTTCTTAATAGGAAAGAACTGCCCGCATGTGCAACACTCCCAATATAAAGTGGCCCTTTGCATACTGCTTCTTGGCACCCATCTTCCCTGGGCTTGCAGAGGCCCCTTAGTACCAGGCTGAACTTGTCCTTACTACAGATTTTTTAGGAAGACTGAGGACATGCTACTTTGTCCATTTTCCTCTTTCTTTCATTGTTCACAACTTGTTCACCCCCATTAATCTTTATTGTAGTATTTTCCATCTTAGGTTGGAAACTTATGCTCAGGGCAGACTTGTTACATGCAGATTTTTGAATGGGCGGGGCACCACCACCCCTCACCCCCACTTGGTCAAGGGTCAACTGCATCTACATTTCATATAAGACAAAGAAACTTCTGGAGAAAACAGTTCCTGGATGTGAGAATTCACGTTCTTCATCCATAACTAAGAAATCCTCTGGCACAACGAGGGGCAGGTTGAGAGGGGAACGAATAACTCAATTACATTCAAATCAACCATTTTCTGGAATGGTCTACATTGTGCACAAAGAGATGGGCAACTGGCTCTGGGCCATGAAAAGGGAGCAAACTGCTTGGGTGAGTCAAGAGAATGGCCTGCAGAAGAGGGAGACAGGGTGAGCCTGAAGGTTGCAAGAGGGTATTAGATACCAAACAGAGTATTGTGAACTCTTTCCTGGTTACTCTGCTCACCTAAATATCAAGTGACACTACCATGCCACTTAATCTCTTCATGCTACATTTCTTTGTATGTAACCTGGGATGCTAAGATATGCCACAAAGTGATATCAGAAAGCAAGTGTGAGGATTAATGACCCTGGAGTCTGATCCGACTGTTGGTTCCTGTTTTGTCTGTGTTTTGGCAGAGATTAAATGTTTTTAAATTGCTAACATCCACTTCCTGCATTGCCTGCTTTTTTTATGACCTGAAAGAGTTAATAACTATTTTTAAATGAAAGATCAGAGATTTCTAAAATGTTTTCAACTTCTTGGCAAAACAAAGTGTTAGCTAGCAAGTTCTATCAAGTCATGTTCTGGGCCCTACAAAGAAATAACTCTGGAGTGGTCCCTTCCCCCTTGTTAGTGACAAAGCCCACACATGTGCTAGGACTGAAGAGCTTTCATTCTTTTAGTTGCAGGGACTTGCTGTGAAAGATGGGTGGAGGTTGCATAACTTCTCACTGTTATCCAAAGCCCAAGGGCAGCCTTACGTATGTCCCTCAAGAGGCAAATGGGTGCGAGCTGGGGTGCATGGGGGTCTTGCTTGCTTCCCTGGACGCAAAACCAGGAGGAGTTTCTGAGACTCCCTTGAAACATGAATTCCTTAACAGTCATGGCCTGCCAGGATTCACTGACCACACAAACTAATGAGTGCACAGCAAGGGCAGGCACACTGGCCTTTCTGAATGCCCTGAGGCAGCCCTCTTCCTTGACTTCATTTCTCTGGCTGCCTGGGAAATGCCTGAGGCATTTCTGACTAGTTCTTTAATTGCCCTGCTTTGTAAAGTTACCTGATAATGGTAATAGTTTTAAAGCAATGCCCACAGGGGAATGTGATTGTTCTCATGACTTGGGAAAAAAACACATTCTTTTCAGTGTTTTTTTGCCATTGATACTAGTATTTAAGGGGCTTTATCTGACAGGTGTCTGCTTGCTGTGCAACCAAGGGTGATGACCCAGTTTAGGAGATTAATTGGGTTAAGCCATTGGGTCCAAGTCTCAGAAAAACTGCAGGATCTGCTATAGAGGAAGGTCTCATGCCATGTGAGTTCTCGGGTGCTGCAGCCTTTCTCTCTTGCTGCTCTGCCTGGTCATGGCAGACTCCCTGTCCCAGCACCCTGTTGTGACGACCCTGACTTTGATCTGGTTCTGATCACCAGGCTTCTACCTAATCCTCAGATTCTCATCTCTCCATAGGATCGCCATCTTTGTTTTGTCTTCTGTGCCTGAAATATGGAGACCAATTCTCCTTGTTTATGTCCATTTCTCTCATCCAACACTGCCCCCCAAATAGTAGGGCATAGTTTTCAAAATACCCATCCAAGAGGTTGGAGCCCTGCCAGGGACAGATCCTCCCGGATCATGCTCTCCTTGCATAGCACACAGGATATGCTGCACATGGACTCAGGTGTATAATGCTTATTGCCCTCTCGGGCCATAAAGAAGCAAACCACTTTCATTGTTGGTGTTGCTAACATGCCTCATTATTGCAACTCTGGTGCTTTATACATACAAGGCCCGTAATACACACTTGTGGACTAGTTAACATATATTTAGCCTATACTATGGGCTAAGCCCTGTTCTAAGTGCCGTACATCTACCATCTCATACTGTCGTTAGTCTCTTTTAAGAGAGTAGGAAATTGAGGCGTAGAGAGCACCACACACTATAGAATACTTCCCTCCAGTGAGTGAGAGAATGAAGGCTGACTGCTTGCCTGACGCTTGACCACTATAAGTAGATCCCAAATACTGGCTGCCTTTGACTTCCTCATTGCCTTGGCCAAGGAGACTGTGTTTATTTGCATCCCTTCCTCTCATTCATTAGCCAGTAGCTGTTTGCATGAATTGTCACCTATTAGAGTGTAGGCTCTGGATTAGGCTGATCCAAATTCAAATCCTGATGCTGCCTCCACTTACCTATTGTACTCATGGACAACTTAATTAAGTTCTGCAAAACTTGCTTTTTCACTTGTAAAATGAGGTAA